CCTAAGAAATGGTCAAAACAAGATTGTAAAAATTGTTCAAAGCTTAAAAAACATCAGCCCAAACATCTCACAAATAATTAGGTCACTGGCAAGAAGTCGGCAGCATGACTGGATACATACAAAGTATCCTAGAGAGGCTCAGTCTTCAGAAGGGAAGAAGGGGAAGATGATAATGTATCTCAGGAAAATACTGCAAAGAATTTGGCAATTTCGTTCTGTTATGTACCATAGATGATGAAAAGATTAAGAGCATCAAGAGAGATCTCTGTACGCAAGGGACGAGGCTGAAAACAATTTCATTTTCAATATTGTAATCTGCAATCTGCATTATAAACACATCTGATTCTGAGGTGCAAATCACTGCACGGGCTCAGGGGCACTCAGTGAATGCAGCGCGGTGCTGCGGCCATAAATCCAAAAATCTATCATGCAGGGGAAACACGGTGGTGCTGTAACAGCAGCAGAAGAACATATTAACATCATATATCACACACATGTTGTGTGCATTTCCGGATTTGTTGATAAAAAGATCTCCCTTCCTCAACTGATCAAATAACTTCTACACTGGCTTCTTCTCTTTATTATAACGTGTGCTGAAGTGGTTCTTAGTGGAGGAGTTGCATTGCCTTCATTACTGTCAGTGATTGTGATTGAATATTTCCTAAAGTTAGGAGTTTAAAGTGTACAAAGGAAGCTGCTATTGTGCAAACAAATAGGTTTTATTCTGCTGAAGCACACGTAACACTGAGTGGGTGTGTTAACAGTAAATTTGTGGTTTGTACTAATAAAGTGATTTCATCTGTTGTATGAGCAGCTGATGAGCTCAGAAATGAAGCTAACTCGCAGCCCTAAAAGCTGCAGTTCTCCAAATGACCACTTGAGGCTGGCTCATGAAATATATGCATAATAAAAGATGGAGCTAAGCTTACCGTAATTAGAAAACAACTAATTTGACCAAAATTAGTTCCTGAATCCATAAAATCTGCAGGAGAGTGTTCACAGAGGTCACGAGAGAAAGCAGCTTCCAGTAGATGTTAGTAGGTCTACATGGGCTTCAGTGTTAAAATACCCAACTTTAGACTTATGGATATTTTCTCCTTTTCATCAGCATGTTATGGCTTGCTTTTTAGGTCTAAGACATCTGCAGTCCAGTTTTAGTGTGAGGACTTATAGTATTAGTCTGTTATTTGGACTTATCAGCAACTGCGTGTGTTTGGTTGACTAATACTGTTTTGGAAAGCAGGCTGGTGACTAAACTCGCTTGCTTTTTCATGTAACTACATGAATTTGTCCAGTTATCATAATATCTTGTTCAAAAAAAAGTATGTATAGCAAAAATGAATGAACCACATGTGAGATTATCACTGCTACACCCATGTTTTGTATACTGTCTATGAGCTGAATGCACCAGATTCCTGTAATTACCAGTTCTGGCCACAGGGGTCACTGTTTCTACTGTTCAGAAAAAGCTGCATATTCTTACTTTAACATGCAAATCTGGCCTATTTTTGTTATTGTAACATATTTGCATTTTTCAAAAGCCTTAATTAACTTTTTCTCTCTCTTATGTTTACATAAATAGTAAGTGAAATGTTTGGCCCCAACCCTTGTTACCCATTTTTTTAGGTCATTTTTCTTCCCCCCCTCTTTTTTCAGACACTAATTTGAATGTTTCCTGCATCACAGACACAAAAACAGCCCGTGTTATTAAAAGGTGAGGGTTAACAGCGAGAGTTGCACGGCTGCACATTCATGTGCAGCAGCAGCAGCAGCAGCAGGCTTTGATGTTCAGGCCAAGCTCGGCGCCTGACGACGGAGGCGAATTTGACTGAGAATGCGCTGCTAAAATGAAAGCGCATATCTGAAGAACCATTAGGGGGCTCCCAGAAAAACATGTCAACCTGAGCTGTTTTATTTATTTGCGTGAAGGAGATTTGACATGCTTTCGACATGAATGATTCAGGCTCTCTGAAAGGAGGACACGCCCTCCCCCACTTATCTTCTTCTCCCTCCGTTAAAGGAGCAAAAGAAAGAGATGCACTTTTCTCCAGCAGCCAAAACCAACAGCTGCTTAGTGAAATCAGCTAATTATCTGTAACTACACCCGGGCGTTTGAGATTTTTCTTTCGAACATAAGACACCGTCGTCTGTGCCAGGACATGATAATGCTCCTGTTTTCACTCCATCATGAGAGTGCATGCCTCTAAAGCGTTGGCACTCGAAGGAGAAAACAAACCTCTGGCAACGGATTGTGAGAGAAATTCTAAATTATATAGCATACACTTTGTTCGTGCGCGCTTACATAAAATGCCTTGACCTGAGATTTACCTTCACAAGAGGTAGATGCAGATAAAAGGGAGAACGCTTAGCTTCGAACTTAAGAGCTGCGTCTAGAAAGACGGATAGTGCCGGCAGAGATGAAAAAAGCGGGACCTGCGTACCTCTTTTTCTCCTTTAGCATGAAAACACCTGCTGCTGGAGGTCAGTGCGAGGCCACAGCCCTGCTGAGAGGCATCGGGGTCGCTCGTGAAGAGCACCTTTAATAACTCGATTTTTTCCCAGCCTCACAATTACGGCGCAGCCATGAATATTTGGGGGCAGAAAAGCGCTTATGCAGCATAAGCAGGGCGATAGCGCTGCACGGCGTATCATCATCGGCCTGTAATGTAGCAACGTTTGATTTGAAGATTTGTGCGACGCACTCGGACCGCTCTGTGGTTATGCGCTGCACTTACAGTAATGGCTGGGACACGAGGATTTAAAGTGAGGAGAGACTTGGCAGGAGGTTTAGTCTCCTCCTCCTCCTCCTTCCCACCACTCCCCTCCGCTCTCTATCTCTCGCCGTCTCCACTCTCTCTCCATTTCGCATTTGATTTCATTTCATCTGTTCACCCGCTGTGAAGAGAGCCCAGTGATGGTGGCCATGGAGAGATGAGAGCTCGCCTCATCTTCCTTCATGTTCTCCCCTTCTCGCGCGATCCCCGCGTTCCTCCATCTTCATTCTCCGCATCCACGCTCTCCTCACTTCCACCCGTCTTTTCTCCGAGAGGACGGAGGGACGAGATTAGCGGGGTGTAAACAGAGAGTCTAATCCCCGGGGCTGGTGGGGTGGTGTTGCCCACTGCTGCGTTCCCCAGCTTTAATGACAGACCCAGCCTGTTTGCTGTGGGTGTCACAGACGGGCCCGGGCGCCTTTGATTAGGGCGCCCTGCAGAAACACAGATTGAGGGAGCAGATCAGCTACTCGCTGCGAATCTCCCCCCTAAGTTCCTCCTCCCTTGACTCGACTCTGCTGCGCTCAGCTCCTCCACCCCACGACGATGCTTTACTCTGCACATCTTCTCGACTTAAAGACTTAAAAAGAGTCAAGAGAGAGAAAATTCAGTGAAACGTATGGATTCTGTGCGAATTCCCTGCAGAGAACGGAGAGTGTGTATGTTTTAATGAGGCACGGGGACCGTCTCCGCTTCTTTCTCTCTGCTTCTGTGTCTCCAGTCCATCGTCTATACTGGGAAGGTGGCGTTGTCCAGAGTCAGACCTCTGGGACCTCGCTCTGTGCCGTGTTCAA